GGGTTTTGGAACAGCTCATTGTATCCAATATTTCTCTGTCTCTTATTGTATCAATCTTATTGTGATAGTTGTGTCTTCTTGTTTTTCTCACAGGGCATTTGCCTCTAAGATGATTTTACAATCTGTTTCTCCTGAATCAGATGTTGTGGCCCCCTGAATAGACCCTAACTCATAATCAAGAGCATTTCACTGACAGCAAGTATGGGAGATACCTACTCTGATCAGCAGGAAATTGGTAATGAATTGATTTAATCACCCTTGTCCTCCATATGATTTAGGGTCTCCAACTTTGGCAGGGTGTATTAGTTGCAGTTAGTAGTGACTAGTGAAATGCAAACCAATAACATGGCAATGTCATGGGTTTTCTTTGAAGTTACTTTTAAAGGTTTTCTTTAAGTTACTTTTAAGGAAAATGGGTAAACAGATAACTTACAGAAAAACAACAGGTGTGGAAACCTTAAAGAATAAACAGGGAAAAGAGACCTAATCAAGTTATATATCCAGAAAGGAAGATTAATGGGGCTATTACTAACTCTTGACAGGATCATTTGGGGTCATTGTAAAGCTAGAATTTATGGCCATAGTTGTCTCAATATATTTCAGAAGGGAAATACTCTTAGTAGTGCTGGGGCATTAAGGTAAATTCTGCCTGGCTATTAACCTGAATATTCATATTAACATAGGACTGACTTGTAGATGAAGTTCTCTGAACAAGAAGGCCACCATGGCAGTTCTGGAGAGGACCAACTAGAGTCAAACTCCACCACCCAACATGAAGGGGATGAATATGTGATTGGCAAAGAGTGCTGAAGGTAGACCCAGTTCTCAAGGCAACAAAGAACACCAATAAATTCAGAGACAGCACTGTTTCTTGTTGTTTTCTGCTGGGATACAACCTTGAGCATGTTCTCTGTTGGGAGATGACTCTTGAGGGGTCTCTTTGAGCCTTACTTTACTTTTACTACTAATAAAATTCTCTTTTATGGTTTTCAGCATCTGACTCTAAGTTTTCTTTCTTCCAAACCCAAGAACTGAGGTTTGGACCTTCAGCTCCCATTCTCCTGTGATAGGAGAAACTCCTGGCCATCTTTGGTCAGGACATACAAGAATGAAATATAAGATTTGGGGTGATGCCACAGACAAGTTTTCTTGCAAAGGTGGGGAGCTCTGCCCTGGGCTATTAGAAGTCTCCAAGAGTTGGGTTCCACTGAGTAGCCTGGCTCCCAGGACAGCTGAAATATGGGGAGGTGCCAGTGTGTAAGTCTCTTCACTCCAGGCCTCCGGCTACCTTATCTCCAAGCAGGCCAGCACCTGGATGTGTGACAGCTAATCCCTGAACCTCCCAAACACCCATCCTAGGAAAGGAGACACAATTGTTGGCCTGTTGGTGGTGTTTCCTCTGTGCTTCATGGGCAGTGTTTTGCAATAAACTGTCTTGCCTGGCTCCTCTATGTACACAGAACTAGCTTATACCTCAGAGGGTTGCAGGGGTCAGGTAGCCCAGTCCAGAGGGCTGTGGGGTGCCAATAGCAGCCAAACCTTTTTTAGGTGAAGAACATCCCTCCAGTCTCAGACAGGAGTAAACTATCAAAGGAGTTGTGCCGTGCCCTTTCTTCATGGTGCCCATAGGCCCATTCTCACTTCTGTACCCAGGCCCCTCACCTGCTTGTCCCCATGATCACAGTTACTTCCAATGTCTCCTCCCTACCCTTCCCCTCCAAACTCCCACTGATATTGCAAACCATCCAGAAGAATAGCCTCACATTAAGACACAGAGTGTACACAAGCCGGACATAGCAGAACTGTTCATTAACAGAACAGGATGCACAGCTTATGAGGCTCTCAGGCACAGGATTTAATGCAGCCACAGTGAGTAAACAGGCTCCATACAACCACATGATGACTCACAAAATACTGAGTGGAAAAAACAAAATGTGCTGTATGTCCCCATCCTTAAGACCTTCAAAACCAGGAGACATGTAAACTACTATTTGGGATGTGAAGACATGGTAATGACAAAAGCCAGGACCACAGCCACCTTAGGGGTGTCACAAGTAGGTCAGGGAGAATATGTGTGTGATTCCATGGTGCTGGGGAGGCTGCAAATCCTGGTTGGGGAGATGGGTGTCAGCCACACTCATGGTACAATTCATCAATCTCCACAGATACACTTTGTGTACTTTGCATATTATTTTATTTCACAAAGATTAGAAAAAAAGAAAGAAACCACCCCCATGTTCAGGCCTGCATTGATCTTCTCAGGGCACTGGATCACTCATGTCTTGCCCAGATGGTCTTAGTGGGGAAGAATGGGTGGGGACTGCCAGGGCCAGAGAACAAGCCACTCAGGTGACCCTGGGCCAATGAGTCATCAAATACCACTTTCATCCTTCCCCTGGGTTGTCCTCCTGCCCCCAGCATTGCCATAAATTTGCTCCATACCTCCTGTGTTCTGTTCTGTTGGCCTGGGAACCTGGCTTCCTGGCTCTGTCAGGCCTGCCTGGAGTGGCATTATCTGACCAAGTTCTGTTTTCTATGGAAGGGATCAGCTCTGATGAAGTAAGCACCCCAGCATCCATGGTTAATGGAATCTCTGCAGTGGTATCTTTAGTGTTCATTCATGTATGTGGTCATCTGCTCACTTACTTACAGTTGAGAAGGACCTTTAACTACATATGAGGATATCACTCATAACAATGGAAGCTCCATCTCCATGCCAGGCACCTCATTAGGCATACAAGGCCAGAATACTTGTCCTTGTGGAGAAAATGGGTGTGAGAAGACAGATTCATGTGATGAATGCTGCAGAGCAGTCTGGGGGCCTATGGGAGCCACCACAGAGCAAGGCAGGAAAGTGATCCCTAAAGAAGTAATGTTTAGCTGGGGATGGTGGCATGTACTTGTAATCCCTGTGGCTACAGAGGCTGAGACAGGAGGATGTTGAGTTCGAGCCAGCCTCAGCAACAAGGAGGCAATAAACAACCCTGTGAGACCTTGTCTCTATATAAAATACAAAATAGGGTTGTGACTCAGTGGTTGCATGCCGCTGAGTTCAATCCCTGGTACAAAAAAAAGTCTATATGGAAATAAATGAACCTTAAATTTTCCTACAGAGTGATAGTAACAAAAACAGCATGTATTGGCACCAATACAGACATGTATATCAATGGTATAGAATAGAAGGCACACAGACAAACTCACATATACAGTTATCTCATATTAGACAAAGTCACAAAAACATACATTGGAGAAATGATAGCCTCTTCATTTGTGGTGTGACAAATGGTGCTGGGAAAACTGGAAATCTATATGTAACAAAATGAAATTAAACCCCTATTTCTTACCCTTTGAGAAACTCAACTCAAAATGGATCAAGAACTTAACACACTGGAACAGAGACCCTTCATCTAATAGAAGAAAAAATAGGCCCCAAACTTCACCACATTGGCTTAGGAGTTGTGGCTCAGTGGTAGAGCGCTTGCCTCGCATGTGCAGGGCCCTGGGTTTGACCCTCAGGTTAAATTTTAAAAATCCTGTGTCACAGTAATTGAAATTCTAGGGATTTAGGGTGAAGTCAACAAGAATGGGTTGAAAGTGTTGATGGAAGGATCCAGGAAAAAGTCACCATTTGCAGGATGATCTTCATATGTACAGCACTTGCTATTTTGACTCAGTTCATTCTTTTCTTTTCTTTCTTTTTTTTTTTTTTTTAAAAAAAACACTTCATTTTATTTCTGTATTTTTACATGAACCCACAGCCTCATACATGTTAGGTGAGTGCTCTACCTCTGAGCCACAACCCCAGCCCTGACTCAGCACATTCTTTCAGTAACCCACTAAATAAGTATTTTTATCCCCATTTTACGACTGAGTAAATAAGGTTGGGAGTTCATGGAAACTTCCTGGTTTATGAGGTGTTCAACATTGCATATGACCTCTGGAAGAACACTAAGCAGTTAGGAAGATGGTCTCCCACTTTATCTGTACCTGACTTTATTGGAAAAAAACATCTTTGTTTTTTAAAAACAATATGATGCCTTAATATTGAATAAATAATATATATTCCAAAGTTGCATATATAGACTACAATCATATAGTGCTATTTAAATATATATGGTTTTATAAGTTATATAAAAGATGTAAATATGAATGGAGTGATATTAAAAATACTTAATAATCTGAATAGCATAACTAATAACCAATTAGAATGGATATCAGTTATAGTGACAAACAGAGTCCTGGAGGCTGCTGCTGTAGTAAATGCTAGTTTTTATTTTTTGGAGGTAGATTTTGGTAAAATCCAGAATGTTCTAGGGGAATGTCCAATTAGACTAATTTACTCTGAGAGTTTGGGGCAGCAGCTATTTACCTACAAGAAAAGAGTTCAATATTATAATTCCTGATGAAAATGTGTGGGTGCATTCTGGCTGAACAGCAGCCCTGAATATACAGAAATACCAAGGACATACATGAAAAGGAAATAATTTCATTAGGCCAGGGTGTGTGATTTGGGAAAACTTATTTTCTGGTAAAAATTTCTTTAATGTTAGATACATGTATCTAAAAAGTCACAATATGCATAAGCTATTATAGGTTGAACATCCTTATTAAAATAAAAAACTCAAAAGCAATTGACAAAAATAAAGCTGGCACCGTGGCACATGCCTATGATCCCAGAGACTCAGGAGGTGAGGCAGGAAGCCAACAAATTCAAGGCCAGACTCAGAGCATAGCAAGACCCTGTGTCAAAATAAAAATTATAAAGGCCTGAGAATGTGACTCAGTGGTAAAACAGTCCTAAGATTCAAATCTCAGTACCCTTGCACCCCCTACTCCAAAGAAAAAGAGAAAGAGAGACTCATAAGAACAGATGAAAGAACATAAAACCTACTGTGCAGAGAAGAAAATTTGAACGTTTCACTGAGAATAAAACAAACACAAAAACATCTGTTTTCCAGCAGTAGAAGATAATAAAGAAATAAAAAAGAAAGTGTAATCACCATTTCAGACGTGTCATCCGAGATTGTCCTTTCACTTCATCAACTTCACTCTTCAGTGCTGATACCCTTTGTAGCTCTGCTTGGGTGTAAATATATCCAGATATAATCTTTTTCTCCTCAATAGTTTTCTATAAGTAAGATACAAAAAACCCCACAAAATGTGTGTCAATATTTTGCAGGATTCCATATGAAGTATGCAGACTTCATAGTTTACAAAAAAGTTATAAATAATAAATTTGTTTAGAATTCTGAAGGACAATCTTAAATGACTTTGAATATTACTTCATTCAGTTACATGCCTCTCCGTCTATACTGGATTTCACTATGGCATCTTCAGGTGCAGAAGAGTTTACAATAACACTATATATTAGCACAGAACCTGAAACACAGGTCATACTCAATAAATACCTGATGAATGAATGAATTTTCAGGGGATAAGTTGTTCTTGCATTTGCTCACTCACCCAATATTTACCACTTGTATTCTAGCAGGCCTAAAAAGGTCAATCCAGAAAGCAGTCAATTCTGAGAAACTTCAGGAAATTATCCAAGATAAACATGAGAACCCAGACTTTCTGGACCACCTTACTAAGGCTCTCCTGCAATACACTAATTTGGATCCAGAAACCCTTGATGGCTGACAGTTACTGATGAATTATTTCTTTGCCCAAAGTTTTCCTGATATTCAGATCAAACTTAAAAAATTAGAACAAGCCCCCCTCACTCCCCAGACCAAGATTCTTGCTACTGCTTTTAAGGTCTATCACAACTGAGATAAGAAGGCTAAATGCCTAAAGTGCCACATGCTGGCTCAGGCCCTCCATGGGTCCTCTCAAAACTCATCTCCTATGTGGCAAGATCATCCCCCAAATTTAGAACCCCCTAGGGCCTGCTTTCAGTATGGACAAGAAGGACATTGGATCAGGGCCTGCCTCAATCCATGGTTGCCTACCAGACCATGCCCAAAATGTTTCATGATGGGCCACTGGGCTTTTATTGTCCCTGTACCTGAAGGGGTGCTCAGCCAGGCCCTATCCCCGATAATCTCATGGGACTGGCCACTGATGATTGATGGGGTCCTCCTGACTCCTGTCCCAACAAGTTCAAACACCATGCTGGAATCCAGGGTCCAAATTACGGTTGATGGTTGCAAAATTCTTTTTTTATTAGACATTGGAGCAACATTCTCAGTGTTACAGGAGTTTTGGGGATCCTTACTTCTCAGTCCCCTAATGTTGGGGTAGGAGGAAAAACAATATATCCCCAAACCACCCCACCCCTACCCTGCTTATTTAGGCCACCATTCTCACACTCCTTCCTGGTGATGCCCCAATTCCCCATTCCCCTATTAGGCAGGGATATTCTATCTAAATTTAAGGCCATGATTTCCTTTCTTCTGTTTTCACCATCCTCCATCCCCTCAATTATAGCCATGGCTGCCCTACAGGCTACACCAGATCATTCCCTTCTGCATTTTCAAGATCAAGTAAAACCATTAATCTGGGACACAGAGACTCCATCCCTGGCTCAATGCCCCCAAGTTGAGGTACACTTAAAAATACCTATCACATTCCAAATAAGCCTCAGCATACCCTCCTTATGTCCAGTCAAAAGGGACTACAACCCATCATTTCCAGCCTTCTCAAAAAAGGCTTTCTTAGGCCCACACATTCATCATACAATACTCTCATTTTTGCAGTCAAAAAACCCAATGGGACTTATTGTTTTATCCAGGATCTTTGAATCATGAACAAGGCAATCAAACCTATCCACCACTAGTTCCAAAACCATATACTCTCCTATACCTTATTCTGGCCTCAACTTCCTATTTTTCTGTTATAGATTTAGAGGATGCTTTTTTCAACATTCCTTTGGTCCCGCATTCCCAAGACCTCTTTGCCTTTACCTGGACAGATCCAGATACTCAATGATCTCAGCAATTAACATGGACTTTCCTCCCTCAAGGCTTTAGTGACTGCCTACACATTTTTGGTCAGACATTGTCCACCAATCTAAAGAGCCTCAACCTCCCTCTTTTGACTCTCTTCCAATACGTAGATGGCTTACTCCTCTGCAGTCGCTCCCTCAATATTTCCCAAACTGACACCAACATGCTTCTTAACTTTCTGGCTGATAAGGGTTACCAGATGTCTCCCCAAAAAGTACAATTATCACAAACCCAGGTCACCTACCTTGGAGTCCAACTTTCCCAAGATTCCAAGGCAATCACTTTAGATCAAAAAGCTCTAAATTGTGACTACCCCAATCCTAAAAACTAAGGAGAAAATCTTATCCTTCGAGCAGGATATATGGGGGCTGGATTCCCAATTTTTCACTCCTGGCCAAACCACTATATGAAATGGCCAAGGGAGACAAACAGGAGCCCCTCCCCTCATCACCTAAATCTTATTTTCTCTCCATACAACAATCCCTCCTACGAGCACCAGCCCTACATCTCCCAGACTTCCAACAAAACTTTCTTCTTTATTCATGAAAAAACAGGCTTAGCCCTTGGGGTGATAAGTCAAAATAAAGGGCCCACCTTTGCTCCTGTCGCTTACCTTTCCAAACAACTAGATCCAGTTGTTAGGGGGTGGGCCCCATGCCTGCATGCTCTAGCTGCAGCACACACTTTACTACAGGAGACAAATAAACTGACTTTGGTAGCACAAATATTATCATTTCCCTTCACACTCTGTAGGATCTTCTCACTTACAAATGCTTAAAGACCTTTACTCCCTGCCACATCCTTTTCCTTCTGGTCTCATTCCTCCATGATCCCCCCATTTCCTTTAGGGCCTGCTCAGTCCTAAACCCAGCCACTCCTCTTCCCCAAACAGAAACACCTTCCTCCCATCACTGCCTTGAAGTACTAGAAAACCTTATCCCCTGCCTCACTCATATCCATCAAGGGCCTTTGCCTGATGCCACTTACACTTGGTTTACAGACGGCAGCGCCTTCACACTAGATGGCCATCATCATGCAGGATACTCTGTAATCTCCCTGACTGACCCACTCAGCATAAAATTTTCTACAATAAAGGCAAAATCCCTACCTCCACACACCACCAACCAGAAAGCTGAATTTACAACCATCACTAGGGCATTTCACCTGGCGGCTGACCATTCCCTAAATTTATACACAGACTATAAATATGTTTATCACATAATCCTCTCCCACTCTGCCACATGGAAAGAGAGAGGACTTCTTACAACTAGGGGCTCCACAGTCACCAATGCTGATCTCATTAGAGCCTCACTCCTTCCACACCAACATGACTCTTCACCTGTTATAAGAGGCAATTCAAGGGCTTATCAGGAAGCCTAACTAGCAGCCCTTGCCCTGTTGTACCCTAGCCCCAGTTATCCCACAACCCAAATCCCCAGTGTCAACCCAATTCATGCTCTCATACCTTGATTCCATCTTTCACACTAACTCTCAAAGCTTAAAAGATTTTACAAACTCATTTCTCACACTCAGCCCTAAGGATGTTCACTTTCTGAAATAGCTAACTTCTAACTGTTCCATCTGTAAAAAAACAAATCCTCAAACCCTTTTGAAACCTGGAACCTTCCCCACACATCAAGCACAGGGCCTCATTCAAGCAGCTGACTGGCAACTGGACTTTACCAACATGCCACCAGTTTGCAAACTTAAATACCTACTAGTTCTAGTAGATACTATATCAGGGTGGGTTGAAGCTTTCCCAACTGCCAACAAGTGGGCTACCACAGTCGCCTCTATCCTTGTCTCTGAGACGATACCCAGATTTGGAATACCCATATCTTTTCAGTCCAACAACAGACCCAAATTCATTTCTCAGATTACACAGCATATTGCTAAAGCTCTTAACACCCCATGGCACCTGCGCATCCCCTATCATCCACAATATCTGGAAAGGTGGAGTGTACCAACCAAACAATAAAAGAATTTGTAACCAAACTTACCCTTGAAATTCACCTAGATTGGGCCAAACTTCTTCCCCTTGACTTATTGTGACTTAGAGTATCACCAAGAAAATCCACCCTTCTCTCCCCATTTGAAGTCATGTATGGCCATTCTGCCTTTTCCCCTGGTGTCATAGCTTCTCTGTGGACTCTACCAGAAAGTCTCTCTTTCCCTCTCCTCTCATTTATACACTCTCACTTCTGGTAAAACCAAGAAACCCTACTTCCAGATCCTCAGAGGACTCATGCTTCTTTTCCCCTAATGCCAGGAGCCTGGGTATTCTTCTCTCTCCCATAACACCAAGATTTTCCCTTGTCACCAAAATGGGAAGGACCCCTATAAGTTACCCTATATACCCCCACCACTGTGAGGTTTCAAAAGTCTCCAACAATGCTAACTCCCTGGATTCACATTTCTAGGTTAAAACCTGCATCAGCTCCTGAGCCTGAGTCTGTGGATACCTCCTTTTCTTCTTCACTGGCATATGCCTGAAGCCCTTCTCCCACTAACCCACTGAAACTTCGTTTCACTAGGTCCTCCAAAAAACAATGAATAACCTCTAGATCTGGGTCTACCTCCCTTACCTCCTCTTAGCCTACCCTGCCTTTTTCCATATCTCCTTCATTCAGATCCTACATATGGAAATTCATAGTAGTTGATCAATGGAAGCATGGATCCATATCAAAAACTGAACAAAGTGCCATTTTTGACATGCCCCTCAACTCAACTGCCCCTATTACCATTTCTCTTGCAAATTCTTGATTCTATAAAACAGCCTGAATAGGACCCTATCTCTGCTATCTATCCAATCAGACCCAAGATTATTGTAAATGGTGTCCAGACACTTATAAAGGTTGTCCTTACTGGTCATGTAGAATCCATCATTATGACAGATACCAGAAACTAGAAACCAATATGTTCCATTTGATACCTGAGGAGACTTGGAAAGAGGCCAGAGCACATAGAAGATGAGAAAATAGCATGATGGGCCTCAGGAGTCACATGTGACCCCTTTTGGGCTAACAAACCCTCTGAATATTTATGGAAAGGGAGGAGCATAGTAACATAGGCCCTGACCAAGTCAACAATCTTTACCTCAGACATAGAGCACTCTGAAAAAGTCCTAATTAAAAAGACAGAGGAACTCCAAGGTCCCTCCTCCTCAGACCCCTCC